AAGAACTGAAATGCTGTATGCCAATAATATCCCACACGTGCCAGCAATCTTCTTAAAATGGGAAGTCTTGACAGAGCACTTGTTTCAATAAAATCTCCCCAGAATCTAGAAGACAGTGAAGGAGTGCCTCAAGACACAAGCCATTTATTGAACATATAGGTGTTGTTATGCTTCAGTGGCAAAATATGTTTATAAGTAGTTTCAAAAGATTTAGTGAGCCCTCTGACTAATAGTGAAAATATCCAAATGCTCTGGTCAGAGCAGGATTTTGTATTTGTGAGTACCTCTGTGCTGGACCATGATCAAGATCCATAGTGGATGTTACATCTTCTACCCTATGTTACACACACAACAGTCTCTTCCCTTTAAGGTGAACCACAAGTCAAAGTAAATCTGTTGAATAATTATGACATCTTTTCTAATGCATGTTTTTTTTCATATTCAAAATTGAGCTTATATCTTCAAATATTTGTAAAGCTCTGAGAAGACTATTGTCATGGGTCTTGACTATACGCTGTTAAGTCATGGACTATTTCACCATCCTTTTGTGATTAACTGTTCCAGGGCCACCAAAATCTGGATCATCTTCTCCTCTGAATAGTCAAGATATCTCAGACGTTTTTGAATATGTGTTTCTCAAATGGAATAATGAACATGGTGCCCGAAGATGTGGTGCTTCCCTAAACACAGCTAGGCATTACTTTGTTCTCTGACTGCTTGACACTTAGCATGGAGAAATGTTTTTTTCTAAAGGCTTGTGGAACTCCAGGAGTTTGACACAATGGAAATGTGTCCACGGGTCTTCATCCTACTAGCCAGGAATATTTCATTGACAGGTTTATCACCTGAATCAGTAACTCATAAGTGAAACTTGTTTTTGGATTTTTTCATTAGATGAAGTAGATTTAAGGCACAGTGAATACAAAAGTCCGAGCACCATTCTTCAGCCTAATTAAATAGGATTCCTTCTCTTTTCTTAGTCTGTTGAACAGTCGTGGGAATGCTTGAACTGAGTTAATTTGGTCTCATCCAAGACTTGAAACTGATTTATTTCTTTACTTGCCTTACAGATTAACATTGGGCTTCAAAGTAATTTCCTTCTCACGTGTATTTATGGTATGCACAAGGTCCAGCTCTTTCTGCATTTTAATGGTCTGAAAGAACTTTTTCAGGGAAGCAAGGAAAAGGGAGAGAGCTTGAGATGAGCCAGGACAGACCTGTGCGTAGTTCTAAAAACAGGTGTGCTGTTGATCCTTGTGTGAAATCCAAGGTGGCAGAGGTTTCTCAGAACACAGCATTTACAGTCCACACGCTCTGACACTGAGTTTGTATCAACAAGTAGTTCATGTACAGGAGACTTGCTTCTTTTGAGCAGCACTCACGCAGGTGCTGACCTTTCTTATGACAGCTGTGATATATGGTGCTATTAGGAGCACATTAATCACATAGATGCCTCAGGATGGACAGAGACACTTGAGGCTCAGGCCACACAGGTTTCTGCAAGATCTTGTCGATCTCTCACTGTTTTAGCTTTCAGGACCCTTTGCAATGCCATCATTGCTGGCGTGCATTGCTTTTGTACAGATAATGTGCTGCACTGGGTATTTGCCTGCTCTTGATAATGCAGAGAGAAGTGTCGAAGCTTCTGAAAAGGCAGAAAAAAACCTTTCCATGATCCAAAATTATTGAAAGTCATACTCCAGGGGTCATTGGTGTCACTTATTTATCAGGCACACTTTGCCTTCTGAGGGTAACATGCTGCAGAGACTGGTTAAGATTGGACCAAGCAAATAAACACATGGAGAGGGGAAATGTTGAATATAAGTTTCTGATGTGCAAAGAGAAATGTATGATTGCTGAGCAGTGATGTAGTTATTTACTTACTTGTGTAACTTATTTCTGATGAATCTTTAATTTGCTGTATGTAGCAGCATTCCATATAGATGTGGTGGACAACATGTGAATACAGAGTATGGAGAAAAAACTATCTAAACAACTTAAAATTTGAGTAATTTATGTGCAAAATCCAAGAAGTAGGAAGAGGTAGGTCTATGTAGCTTTCCCTAGCATGCAATGTCATATGAATACTATGAAACAATAAATGAAATGTGGCATGAAAATTTCTGGTCACATAAAAATATGTAGGGTATTTTTCAATCAAGAACAGAAGATGAAATTCATTGGTTTTGCATTTTACCTGTAGAGAGACAAAACTAGGCTGACAAAACAAGCAGTAACTACTGCAGACCTTTCCATTTCTTAACAAAACATGAGTATTTCTATTTTTTATGATAAAAATACTAATAAATCATTAATAGTTTTGGTAATAATGATCTAATTTATCCTTTTAAGACAACACATTTAAATGTAAACAATAGTGCAATTCACCAGTTATGAAGTTCTTGTTTTCTGTTCTTATGGAATTTATTTAACAGACATCACTAGAACTATCCATTACTTATAATCTTTTAAAGTTAAATGACTATGGATATGAAAATTGTTAAAAATTGAAATATAGAAAATGTCTCATTTTCCTGTTGATGAATCTGACCTGTGAGTTCAAATCCACAAGTGAAAATGATTTGGCTGGTCTAAGCCAAAGACTATTTGCCTACTAAATAGTTTGAAGAATTAATTCTTCACAGCCAGGAAAGGGATGTATTGGGAAAAAAAAATGTATTCCAAAGTCAAGACTGTGAAATATACTAATTGTGAGGAGAAAAGTTGTTTTAAAATTAACTAATTGGAACCTTTGCCTAAAATTCCACACAAAATGAATTAAAATTGAACCAAATAAAGTGAGGCATTTTATCTGTATATTTCCATGTCTTTGTGTATCTCATTGCTTATGTGGGCAGTATGAGTCAGTAGAAAATTGGGTTTGAAAAAGCCAAACATTTCATATTTCTGATGTGGTCAGAGATGAGATTTTTCAAAGAGAAAAGACTTTCTGCTTTGCTCTTCTAAGAATTGATGGTGGAATTCAAGAGAAAAAAAAGTGAAATAATCTTTGGAAGATTGCTTTTAAAACCTAGTTTTAGCAGAGTGTTGTGAGGACCATTCTATAATAAAGTATATTTGGCTGAATTTCAAAGCAGAATTTCAAGACAAATTTAACCTGTAGTCTTCCAATAACTCTTTTCAAAATATGTTAGAGAAGTTAATTTAAAAAAAAGACTGAATTCTTATCCCTTCCATGGACCTGGTGAGAGGATATGTTCATTTTTTTAAAACAAATATGTCTGTGCAAGCAGTTTTGTAACTTTGGAGAGTGTCAGACCACAGGAGGAAAAGGAAGCATAGGAGGCTCTAAGCACTGCACCTAAGAATAAAGAAACAGACAACTGTAGAAAAATAAAAATTACTCTAACAAGAAAGTGTTGAAAAATATAAGGCAAAGTACAGCTTAAGAGTTCTTGCCAGGAAACTATTTATCAGGGGACTACTAAAGAGGGATAACTTCTGGGAGCTTGACAATGGGCCCTGATGATATGCCAAAACAGGTGCCTTAACATTAGGACAGAAGATGAAAACTCAGAAATTTCAACAATTATCATCAATGGAAGCTTAAGATCAAGACTCTGCTCCTAAGAGAGGGAGTTATCCTTCTTTCCCCTGGCAGAAGGATACAGGAAGAAGAGAAGGATACAGCATGTATATTTAAATCAATGTGAAAACAGATCAGAGCAGCATTAAGCCTTGAACCACTGTCTTTGAAAGAGTTGTCAGTGATAAAAAAAAGTATGCTCACCTCTTCAAATGCAATAAAATATCTTTTTTTTTTTTTTTTTTTTTATTACAATAGTGAGCTCCTGAATTTGTAACCTAGAGGGTGACTTTGGGACTATGGCTCAAAAACTTTGGCTGTGCCTGGCTTGCCAGGTGATTACTTTCTGTGGCTTGGTCTGGCTTTCCATCCCAAATCAGCACACCACAGCTTCCTTCTGCTCTGTATATCCAAGTTCCCTACAAAAAACGAATGTGTGTATATGAGCGCTGCGAGGAGCAGGGTGCATGCCTGAATCCCACCATCATGTGAGCTGACAAATGGCCATGTGCTACCAGACCTGGGAGGCACTCGTGCCTCCCCTTGTGTAGACTTATCTCTTGTCTCGGGTCTGAGTCATGATATTTTCCTACTTTGCCAGTGTGCTAGGATATATCCACAAACACTTTTAAGTCTTACACACACTACAGAAATAGGTCTTAAAAATAGACAAAAGGCAGATTTATAAGCTACTCATCAAGGAAAATGTCAAATAGTTTTCAACTTCTTGAAATTGTCTTACTCATCCTTGTACAATAAGAATTTTTATTGGTACTGATTGAGAAAAGTCCGAGCCAGAAGTGATTTTTTCAGATTTGTTTGACCATGGAATGGATTATAATACCTTTGAATAATTGGATATCCACTTCATATTCAGTATACTGAAATGAAGTAATTCAAATGATGAGATAAGTGGTCCAGGACAAATTCATCGTAGATCTTTCCTCACAGATCCCTCTATGCTCCTTCCACTCCCACACTGTCAAGGGAATCTGTCTATTTGCTTGGAAATAGTATATTACAGTTCTTTTAATGAGTAAGATTACAGATTTTGATTAATTCAGCAGCCCCTGTGCTTCCCTCTTTCTAACAAGGTAGGTGACTGTCTGCTATAATCATCATCACAAATTTAGAGTAATGGTGACATATATCTTTGGTCTCTACCAAAATGCAGCATGTTTTGATATCAAGACTCCTTAATTAAAAGGATATTCAGTGACAAGCAAACTAACAGCACTTCACATTAAGCTGAATTATAATACTCAAACACTTTATTTTATTTCTGCCCGTTCCAGTAACTCTGTAATTGCATCCACATTCTGACACACTTCTGCTTATATCACAAATGCATTGTGACATCTAAGTCTGCAACAGAACCCTCATTCTGCTAAGTTGGAAACAAAAGGATAGTACATGAAGAAATATTGGCTGTAAATGCTAAGAAAATACTGCTGAGTAAAGCATCACTGTGCGAGAACACACATGCATCTGGAAAACACCACTCAAACAACCAGCCTGCAAGACAGGGTCTGAACACATGAGAATGCTGATGGTTCTTAACCAACTTCACACCTCCATATAAAAATTTACCACCTCCTCCCCATCCTGCAGTCCTTTGCCCTAAGTCAAACCCCTTGCCTTCTGACTTGCCTGTTCTTTTCCTCCTGCATCACACCCGCTCAGCCTCTATGTTTCCTCTGGCTGCCACAACGGGTGATTCCCCAAATCTGGTTGCTAGTGCTGTCATTTCTGCCTTTCAGAGGGAATATGGTAGTACTGGTGTTTTGCCTTGGCAGGGGGGATTGCCTGCAGTATGCCAAGCTCCTGTGCAGCTTACCAGCTGTAAGATCATAGGGGAACAATTCTCTCAAATATTTCTATGAAAGACGCCTGGATATCAGGAAAGAAGTCCCCAGTCTTCCTCACAGCATTTGCAGCTGGCTGCTGTTTTCTATCTTTTTTCACTTTATTTTTGACTCTTCTCCTGAAATGACTTTGCTTCTTTTAAACAACAGCAGTTGTTGGATAGTTCATGACGGCATTAGGAGCTCAAGAGGAAACTGGGAGAGAAAGACTGGAGGGGGTGCTGGGCAGAAGAAGAAACACTGATAGCAAGGCCATAGAAAATTACTGGTAAGCAGTGTCTGGCTTTGACCTCCTAATCAGGTGTACAGAGAACTTTTTCTTAGAGAAATGAATGATAGCTACTTACCAAAACTCTGTCAGTTTTCTGTTATGTTGGATATAAAAGCCCTGCTGCAAAGAAAGACCACTTATTTTTACTTGTGACAGTCCAATGCAGAAATGGCAGCTAGCAAGAACACCTTTTTAGTTTTTACTGCTAGCTGGATCAGCCTCATAAATGCCTAAACTCATATATAAAAATGTTAATGTTTTCCAATTGCTACTCTGAATTTATATTTATTGCAATACAATGCATCCATTAGCTCATCTATCACCGATAAATTTGTTACTGCTTCAAATATACAGTACATAACGTTGCAGCAATTTCATTTTACAAGCTAATAATGTACTGTAATGTAGCTTTCAATATCATGTAGAAGTATTTGATTAGGGAGGTTCAGCAGTCAGTCAGATTGAACAGTGGATTATATAACAATCAAGTTTTTAACTTATTTACTGTACAAATGAACAGCTTTGGTGCACATTAAATGTGCTAATTTAACAGGTGTGTCATTTTATTCATTGAAGAGGAACAAATGGTATTTTTACTCAAACTGAAGGACAGTAGACCCAGAATGTTTTTTGATGCTTGACATATTTATTCTTTAAAAGACAGTAATAATTGTATTTAAATTTTATATAAATTTATTGTATATGTATTTATATATTGTATGCTGTATTCTACTATCTGCAGAAACTACCCAAAAGCAGAAGAGGTGGCTAAAATATTTTCCCGAAATGCTATGAAAATAGAGGCTTTTTTTTTTCCCCCAAATAAAGAAAAGCTTCAAACATATACAACCTAGGAGATGATTTTTTGGAAAAATTTGGAAAATTTTATGATTTTTCACTTCCTACATGGATTTGCCAAAACATACATCTGTGTTCTGTGTGGACGGGCAGTGTCCCTTGTGCCTCTGCAAGGTGAGACGTAAGGCAGGGATGTCGCCACACAACACCTCTGTCTGCACCTCTGTGCTCCAGTTGGGAGTGTGACATCTCCAGTAGGTTCAAAGGTGTTCCAGCACATGAAGTGGGAGCAATACAGATTAATATTTGGCTTCCTATTCAACTGACCATTGCACTAGGGAAAAGAAAAATTCAGGATTGTGTTTTAAGAAAGGTGTCTACCAGGATTTCAAAAGTGTGAAAGTTCTGGAGAATTTGTTTCTGAAAGTGTATCTTTTTGGAAGGGCATAGGTGTGTTAAGATGAATCTGTAAATCCTCACAGTCTTCTTCACAGAATCATAGAATTGTAGAATGGTTTGGATTGGAAGGGGCTGTAAAGATCATCTAGTCATCATGCCACATGAGCAGAGACACCTTTCACTTGACCAGGTTGCTCAGAGTCCCATACAACCTCTACTTGAACACTTCCAGGGATGGGACATCGCCGTCTTCTCTGGGCAACCTGATCCATGGTCTCGCTACCCTCACAATAAGGAATTTTTCCTAACATCTAGTCTAAATCTACTCTCTTTCAGTTTGAAACCATTCCCCCTTGTCCTGTCAGTACATGCCTTTGTAAAAGGTCGCTCTCCACCTTGTTGTCTCCCTTCAAGTACTGGAAGGCTGCAATTAGGTCATTCTGAGGCCTTCTCATTTCCAGGCTGAACAATCCTGAAATTATTTCAGTTGGTTAGAGCATGGTGCTAATAACACTAAGGTTGCAGGTTTGATCCCCATATGGACCATATGCATCATCTACATCAGCCAATTCCGTATGCATCATATGGATCAGAGATTACTGTAGGCTCCTGGTTGTTACCACCTGAGTCATTGTACAGAGAAGTAATGCAGATGACTGCAAGAACCAGAGACTGACTTGTTGTGGATGAGAAGGCAATACCTGTTTTTGTTCCTAACTCACACCAGTATTAAGCTTATCAGAAAAAGCTCTTCTGCATGCAGTCAGATAAAACACGGAAAACAAAGGATATATTTGCAAAAAAATAAGGATATATTTGCAGAACTGTATATAGACAGTGTTTTTTTAAAACAAAGGCTCTCTTCGTAATGCATATATATATATATATAATGCAATATAATGTAATGTTGAGTTTTACTACTTAGGGAACTGTCTGCAATTAAAAACTCAGAACTTATTAGGCTAAATCAACAATAGGTAAAAAGTCCATGCCCAGTATTATGTTTGTACATCCATGAAAGAAATGAAGAAGTGTTTTAGCTTCCTAATCCACTCCTGATCCTTGCAGTACATTCCAGCTCTGAAATGGGACACAACAGGAAATAGTTTACAGATTTTTTTACGTGAAAGGTGACTATAACTGTCACTTCTATTTAGCTTATAGTTTCCTGAGTTTTGCCAGTCTTTTAGCCCATTCAGATAGGATAACTTTTAATTTAGCTGTCGTCATTCATAAACTACCCACATGAGCTTTGCAGCAGGGAAAAATTATGTGAATGAGTTCTGGAAACACTGACTTCCTAAGCACTGTTTTGAGAAGTAATATTACGTTATATTTGCAGTCATCTTTGGTATAAGGGATCAGCGGAGAGCTAAGGGAAAGAGTTTGACACATACAGTAGAGTTGCTGGAAAAGGAAACTGCCTTATACAGTGTTAATGGAGGGAAGTATTTTTCCTTTGTGATAAATGGAAGTGACATGCAAGGGTGGCCCTTAAAAACCCTCCATTTACTCCCCTAGAGCAAAATCTTTTAATGGGCTAGGTCGAATCACTAAAGATGATCGAGATTCTTAATTGGCTTCAATAAGCTTTGGATCAAGGCCACTGGAGTCATATAGATCAAAATATTTTCAGTTATATAGCTGGATGGCAAGATATGTCTGTGGTGATAATATTTGTATGAGCAGTGTGTGTTTTTACTCTGCTGTTTCACTGTGGGGAAAAACATGTTTGTTGTTTATTTCTTTGTCCAATAGACATCTACAGCTTTATAATGTCATGCAGAGGACACTAATGCAATATATTATGCATGCTATCTATGTTCTGTTATGTCATTGGCTTTCACCTCACCTCATTTGTCTATTGAGTCTGGAAGATGGTTGAGGGGTGATGAGAAGGGAAATACCCTGAATATGTCAGAATTACTTAGACATGTTGGTGTGTTTTGAAAAAAATGAGTACTCGTTGTGCATAGCTTTTCTAAAGTAAACTTCTGAACTGGTTCATGTAAGATTATTTGAATGTGCACAGTTGCACTGATCAGCCTCTGCTTTGTTATTTTTCCATGTGTAATATCAGTACATGGTAGTAACTTAGGTTTATTAAAGAGACTCCCTAATAGTCTCACGGAAAAAACCTCTGTGTCAACTGTGAACTAATTTTTCCAATTCTGATTTTTGTTAGCATATTTATTTCGTATTCCATATTTCCCCTTTCTGATTTACTAATTTACTTTCATCATGAGATAAAACTAATACAGTAGAATACACTACACAACCCCTTGTAACTAAAGAGCACACAATCCTATCCACTCTGGTATTCAGCATCCACATGCTAAACATGTAAAACATATAAAACATACCCATAGTCTCAAATTAAGACAAGACTTTAAATGAAAATACACAGTCTTTTATGTATCTTATTTAAGGAATCTGCTGAGTGGTATTCCAGTGAGTTTCTTTATCTTGTTTTACTTCTTTCTGTGTAAAAATTATAGGGAAAGAATGTACTTAAAATATTTTAACAGCTTTAATGAAGATGTTAAAAAGAAAGTGAACTGCTGAGTATTAGCCTGTACTATTAATATTCTGTACAATTAAACCTGAGATGGGGAAACAACATTTTCTGAAATCCTTGCTTGCTTAAAGGTCTTGGATCTTTGCTATGCAATGTTTTTATCATATTTTCAGAACACAAACGCATGTAACATAACTTCCATCTGACCATTATACCTCACTGCAGAGAAGTTCTGTACTTGTGTGTAAAGAAAAATACATTTTTATACAGCATTTTTAGAAATGTTTCCATTTAAAATGTATGCTTATTTATTCATGAGACCCCTAAAACTGCTTATGAAATTTCTAAAACTGTTCAGGTTTGCTAATCAAAGAAAAATAGTGTCACTACTGAAATAAACACCTTTTGAACATCCTGTTATAATTTCAGGAAATAAAATTAATAGGAAATTCAGAGCTGTCTTGGTTAATTTGAGATGTGAAGATGTCACTAGACATTGGGTTTTCAAATTGCTTGTTTGCACCAACTCTTTACAGACTTGGGCAGCAGTTGCTCATGTGCTGTAGACACTGTCTCTCGCTTCCAAACTCTTACTTATATAAACAAAACATAATTCCCTTCCCTTTGCCGGTAAAACACAAAACAAAAATAAACTTTCCAAAGGATCCATATATTGTGGTCTGAAATAAGAGGGAGATAAAATAATTTAATTAAGACTTGAAATAAAATATGAAAAATATCCTCTAAGAACTAGTCCAAAGGATAAACCACAGAAAAACAAAGAATATAATGCAGACCTTTTTTTTTTTCTTTATGTGTATTTTTGTTTTCCCTTTATGAAAAAAGAAATTAAGAACTTTGGATGTACTCTAGCCCATTCTTCCTTATTTTTTCCTAAGATTCCATCCTATCCCCTGCTTCCTGTGAAATGAATAGGATTCTACAGATAGTCCTAACCCAAATCAACACCATATTGCTCCATTAGAGAGGAACTGAGAAAGAGATAGAAACAAACCAATGCACAGTTAAAGGAGATACACATAAAAGCAAAACAGAATGGGTAGTGCATCTGATTGAAGAAATTCTTTCTTTCTCCAGTTGTCTCTGTTGCACATACACATACACAGACACACACACTCTTCTACACACTTGATTTATTTGTGAAACAGTGTCTTCCAAACATAGAATTTTGCAAAGTGTAAAGGCAATTAAACAGAACAGCTTGAAGCTGCCAATCACTCCAACTACCAACAAAAGCATCTACTATCAAAGCAAATTATGTAATGTAAAAAAGCCCTCCACATTCTACCAAAGCAAATAATGTAAACATGCAAGTAAAAAATAAGCTCGTTTATCATCTGTCATAGCAAATCATACATTTTTTACCCCTCCCCCCTCAGGATATGTGTTTTTGTATCCCATTATGTTAGTTTGGGCATGCATGTGACATAGAAGGTAAAGAGCAATATGAGAAGTTACGTTTTGAGCATCTTTTTCTGCTGGCAAGCATACTAGTGCTCTTGCAGGTTTGGGTGCCTTTTAAAATTTTTTTTGGCTTCTGGTGTAAAAATAAATTGACAATCACAACTTATCATCACTTAAAAATGCATGTGAATACTGGAGTTTACTGAAACATGATTGGCTTCTACATAAATCAATCTGATAGAGATCAGCCCCATGAAAAAAAAAAAGATAAATCATTAGTCTGTGCTTTTGGAATGTAATTCATTTTAGATAGTGATTATTAATGATTTCATTCCACTGGTACATGTACATGTCTAGACCATGTTTTTGTATAAAATGTTAAAATGCTGCAATGTGTTCACTTCAAGAAAGACCATGAAGAAATAATGATTAAAACTTTGTTATTGCAACATTCCAGGTGTAAAATTTTCATGCAGAAAACTTGCCTTCCCTTAAAGTGAAATTCTTGTCTTCTACAGCAATTATAATTTAGTTCTCTACCTTGCATGCAGCATTTGCTTGTTTATTGCTATAAGTTTTTCTCCACTAGATAAAAGGTTCTGTGAACCCTTTCAATTGGCCTCATTATAGTTACACCAGATATTTATGGGGCGCAGTATGTGAAACTAAGCCATTCAC